GCCCGGAAGTTGCTCAAACGAGAATTCTTACACCGAGTACTCCGGGTACTATCCTGTTTGATATCTGTAAAACGGCCCAGTGGCCCACCTCCTGTGGGACCACTCTGTCCTGGCATAGAACGTATTCCAAATCAGACGTTTATATTTGCCCATACCGATACCCTGGGGAAAATGACAAATGGGATTGCAGCAGCAATGTGGGTGAAAGATTCTGCCCGTATTGGGGATGTGTTCTCTGGGCCACCTATAAAAGCTCAGGAAAAGGGACAAATCTCTATGTCACACGGGCACTTCAATCGAATGATTGCATGATTTATAATTGCAATTGGGTCAATATTACTATACCTAACCCCCAAACATGGATCCATAAATATGGTCCAACCTTGGGAATCAGAATATATGCCCAGGGGACAGACCCAGGGGGCATTATCCATTTATCCATTGAGACTCGGAAATTTGCCTCCAAATCACACTCAAAATACTTCTCTGAATTCTGGCAGGAGGTTGACATAGAGTTTCAACCTTCACAGGAGGCACGCAACCTTTTCCTGGAACTAGCTTCCACTATAGCTCATACATTTAATGTTACTAAGATAGGAGATCAATGGCCATGGACAGCTCAGGAATAGAACTATTCCATACCCTACAACCTCACAGCAATGCCACCGCATCAGTCCCTCTCCCGGTGGGAATTGACCAACCCCATTGTTGCTCACTGGTGCCTAGCTAGCACACGAGGGACAGGCCCATTGATTGGGGAAACAATGTTTGGAGGTCCATGAATGGAATCGCTCCACAAAAGTATGGGATTATTGGCCTAACAGGACTAACCTTTTTTGGGCAGATCACTACTCTTTGGAAAATGCTACTGAAGCTCCCCCAACCTCCCGACACTGCAAAAACTGTTAAACGTCTGTCTGTATACTCTTAATTTCCTCAACCTCACTGGAAACCCTCCCTCATCTGCTATGTCTCGTCATTTCACTAAACCCTCTCTCCCCACTGCAAGACCACTTGTCTATTACAGGCAACTCCCAGATCCAGCTTGGAAGGGTCCTGCTGAACTCATCACCTGGGGGCGAGGCTACGCTGCGATTCAGTTACCTGAAAAGGTTCTCTGGATTCTTGGTCGCTGTGTGCGCCCTTGCCACACCTCCCCACCTGATCAGCCACAACCCAACACAGACCCTCTGGATCTCCACTGGCTGAAGCTCCATGATGAATAACTGCCTCTTCCTCCTCACTGCCTTATTTTCTTCCTTTTTTCTACAAACGTTGCCTGCAAACCCCCTCAACTTACACCAGCCAGTGAAACAAACTTGGACAATATATGATGCCTATGATCGCGTCTTATTCTCCATTAGCAACACCACTCACCCATACACCTGGTGGCCTACCCTCAAAGCTGACGTCGGACAGATATTGGTAGGCCTCACTGCCTACACTAGCACGACCGAGATACCCACACCTTCCCCGGGATTTGTCCATCGCTATCGATTTTATCTTTGCCCCGGACATAAGCAGACTCGCGAGAATATTCGCGTTTGCGGAGGCCCCGCAGACGCCTTCTGTGCCGCTTGGTCATCTCTCTCCACCGGTTCTATCTCCTGGCAGCCACCGATCAAAGACGATTACATCTTTGCCTTCCAAAATGGCTCTTGGCATCAGGCCACTTGCCCCTCAGGGGGCACATGGACTCCATGTAATCCCATGTATATCTTGTTTTCAGCGGGAGGGAAAAAACTTACTACACGGTGGGAGGCGGGTCTTACCTGGGGAATCCGGATCTATGCTGATGGGTACGACTATGGCAACACCTTTACCATAAAACTCGTAATTGAGCGGCCCCCTATTCAAGTAGGCCCCAATAGAAATATATCCCTGGTAGAATATCGTCCAGGCCACACAGTTCCCCAACCTTTGCTACGGTTAATAAACTCTAGCTACCTCCTCCTCAATGCCAGCAACCCTGCAATCACCAATGATTGTTGGCTGTGTCTTAATGCGGCCCCCCCTTATTATGAGGCCATCGGTAGCACCACCAATTTTACTGCCCAAAACTCACCTTCATCTTGTCGCTGGTCACAGGGTACTCAAACCATTGGTAACATCATAGGGACAGGATATTGCCTGGGAAACGTACCTAACACCACAAGTCATCATTGTAACCGGACTTATTTATGGCTTAATGGTGCTTCAAGAGCACTTTGGAATACTGGAGGGAATTTCACTGCTGTTTTTCAGAACTTGTATTTTGTTCCAGACAACAATTCATGGTGGGCCTGTGACACTGGCCTCACCGCTTGTGCCCACGGTCCCACCATCACCCAAAGGAATGGTTACTGTGTTCTTGTTTCGATAGTCCCAAAAATAACTTACCACTCCGCCCAAACTTTTCTGCAGGATAACACCAATTTTGCTCGCCCTAAAAGAGAGGTAGTCACCACCCTTACCCTTGCTGTATTGCTAGGACTAGGAGCTACAGGTGCTGCTACGGGAATTGCCAGTCTAGCAGTCAGTAATAGTCAATACCAAACTCTGCGTGCTGATATAGACAAAGACCTCGAACTTCTCGAACAGTCTATTTCTCACCTTAAAGCATCTCTTACATCCTTATCAGAAGTCGTTTTGCAGAATCGAAGGGGCCTTGATCTGTTGTTTTTAAAAGAAGGAGGGCTATGTGTAGCATTAAAAGAAGAATGTTGTTTCTATGCCGATCATACCGGCTTAGTACAAGACTCATTAGATAAACTAAGAGAACGGCTGGAAATACGCAAAAGGGAAAGGGAAGCAGGTAACTCTTGGTATCATAATATGTTTAATTTCTCCCCATGGCTCACAACACTTCTTTCTTCAATTGCCGGACCATTAATATGCTCCTATTGCTGTGCGCCATGGGCCCTTGTGTATTCGGGAAAATAATGCAATTTCTCAAAAAACGACTGGCCATTATTGATACTGAGATCACCAACATAAACATGCTTGTAAGAATAAGGTCCGAGAACAACACTCCAGCAGAAAAAAGGTCTCTACTGGCATTCACTTCGGACTCGGAGGAGGACGAAGATGAATACCCAGAAAAAGGAGACGGCCCTCGCATTCTAATGTGCCGGCAGGACTTGGACTCGGAGGAGGACTAGATCTTGCAGCACAAGGAAAGAGAGGTCTTAAAATAATAAAAACAGAGGAGATATTGCAATATCATGACACATCAGTAGGAAGTCACGTACACGAAAAACCCAATACACATATAGGGCGATATTGTGGAACAGCAACGTGCAAAGCGTGAATTGGCTGTAGCATAAGGTGTAGCCATATATGGCAACATTCCCTATTCCTGAATAACTTCCTCATGTGTAACTCAACCCTCCCCTGCTTGCTGCACAATAAAAGAGAGGTGCGTACTACCATCTGGGCTTCCTCTCACCGAAAGAAACCTTTGTGTCACTGTCATCCTTGCCACTAAGAGGAGCCCGCCCGGACAGTCTGCCCGGGTGCAGGTCATCAGCTGACTAACTCATCCCGGTAGCGGGACCCGCAACGCATCACCACCTATCTGAAATGGTATAATAGGAAGTTGGACTTCCAAGGTCTCTTCAAGCTCTGTTCTGAATGAAAAATTGAACTTGAAAACAATGTCAGTGGGTTCCATTCAGTTGGCTTCAGTTTTATTTACAAATTCAGCATAAATAAAAATAGTAAAACATTTCATTCTGAATTATGAATAGCAGTCCAAATGTTGCTTATGCCAGCTTGCTTTAAAGTGTAACTTTACTACATGAGACACTATTTAAAAATACAAAACTAACAGTGCAGTTATTTCAACACGTTCCTTGTACTTTAGCTAATAGTGGTAGTCTTATAAGTAATTACTTATTACTAACAATGAATTAGTATGTTCAGCAACTGTAAATTAGTTCATTTGACATTTTTCTTTGCTATTATTATATATGGAATTATAAAAGTCCCACAATGGTGGGAAATGTGTAAAGATCTGAAAAAAATGAGTGATCCAAATATTGTTTTGGACAGCAGGAACAGGCAAACGTATTCGGCAACACTTAATAGTTAAATAAACATTATATATAGCAGTAATTTAGTTGCTGGACTTTATTTTATGTATGTAAAGACCTGCCCATACTTGTAACAATTTTCTGGTGTTACTTTTATATCATATGCTACCTGCCAAGTGGCAAGGACTTTTCTGAGGCTTAATCTGAAATCTTCCTACACACACATGGAAGCTATCTGAGGAACAATTTAAACCATCTTGAAGATCTCCCTCCATACAAAAAATTGAAAACATGGCACTTTAATAGTTATCCTCCCAGTTTACAATATGTGAAGAAACAATCAGTAGAATCAGCCAAGCATTCCCAGAAAGCTGTTCGCTCTCTCTTCAAGATTTTCAGAAGTAGTTTGCCATTGCCTCCTTTGTGAGTGAGTGACCAGCCCAAGGTCACCCAGTAGGGTTCATGCCTAAGGCAGGACTAGTACTAATGATCTGCCAATAAACTTTAATAACCAATACATCTTAAAGCATACATTAGCTGTTCAGCTAATGATCAGATGGGGGCAGATGTTCTACCCGTTAGTTTGCTGGCTAGAAATGTTTTCTTTTTCACTGCATTACCTTATAGACTTCACTGCTTTAGTACTCTCAAACTGCTAAACATCCATTTTCGTCTTAATACTACTCCATGAAATATTTCCTATTAATTTCAGCTTAGATTCATGCTAGTTTTAATAGTACTCCCCCTCTTTATAAATGAAGAATAGGAGTAATTTTATTATGACAAATGAAGTGCTGATCACAATTATAATCTATTATTGTTATGCTTAAATTTAACCAACAATACAAAATTCAAAACCTGAAGCAGGTTTATATATGTCCGTGTGTGTGTGCACATGTGCACGTTAGAAAGCTACTTCTCTCTCTTGAAATTAAACTTAGCTTTTTTTCCCCCTGCACCTATAAGACAAGGGTTAATTGCAGGTACCTGAGTCCAAGATGATACAGACAATGCTCTGCAGGAGATATACATAGAATTTTGCCTTTGATCTTGCTCCCAGGCTGAGGCCTTATGTTAATAGTAAAATGATGCAGGTAATGTTGAGGTAGCATGAGGAGCTACAGGGCAGCCTTTCTCAGCAGTCTCCAGGATGTATTCAACTTCCAGAAGTCCTAGCCACTGAGGACTCAAAAAATTATGATTATAAGAAAAATCCTGTAGGAATGGATCTTGTATTTTGGACAGTTTACTGCATCAGGCAGCCTGTGCTTGGAAGAAATTCATGGAGATAACTGGCTACTGCCTTTGTTAGATAAGTCATGGTTCCATAAGCACCACTTGGAGCACTGTCATAGAAAAAGTAGCAGATACCTGTGCCTGCATCTTGTTCTAAGAAGCCATCAACTGCTCCGAGGGATTTCTGGAGAAAAAAGTGAAGAGAAAGAGGTATATAAATACAAAACAATCCTCACTTAAAGAATGGTCAAATAACCTAAAACATTATTTTTGAGAATAGGCATTCATCAGCTTTAATTTCCAAAAGGGGCTGCTCCTCAATCTTGAATAAGCTGCTGAGACCTATATGCAGGCAGATTTTATAAGGGTCAGTCATACTTTCCTTCCAATTCTACAGTATGTTGTCAATTGGGACTGGTGTCAAAGTCAATATGAGTTTCATCAAGTGCTGGAAGCCACTGCAAGGCAAAAGGTGAGTCATGCACTTTAAAATAGCAAGAGAGAATACTGCAGCAGGGTATTACTCAGTGAACACCAAGAATATAAGTAGAGTCCTCTAACCTCGAGGCAAATTTTATCAGCCAGCTGTACCTACAGGCTGTGTTACTTGCAGGCAGGCAGGAGAAAATAAAGAAAAGGATTATGTGACCCATGTCTCCATTGCCACTAACAGCACTAGTCCTAAATCCTATAAGAGTCTTTCTGCATTTCAGTCATTAAAATATATTCTTTCCACCCATTCCTGTGATTCAGCTACTAGTGTATATGCTCTTCCAAGTGACCAGATCTCTTGAAAGCATTAGCAAGGAATAAATAACACGGGGGCTTTATACCTGCATTGCCCAAGATAGCTGGACTTCTTCCTTAACTATATTTACCCCACTGGTCAGCACTAGGCAGGTACAAGGTTTTTGACTGGAGTGGCCACCTCTGCTTTGCCTTTTTTGCAACTAGTTGGTCATGAGTTTGCCTGGTGGTAATAGCAATTCACTGCCCAGTATTTAAAGCAGTGATTTTTAATTTTAATTTTTAAATTAAACTGATAATCTAATGCAGGACTGTCAAATTCAATTTCATTGGGGCCATATCAGGGTTGTGTTTGACCTTGGGGGGCTGAGGTGGGCATGGCCAGCTCAATGACACTTGTGCTGGGGGCGCCTGTGATGGCCTGAGCGCTCTGCCAGTGAAAACAGGCTCTCCTGAGTTCTGCCAGTGGATGCGGCCCTCCTGAGCTCTGTTTTCACTGGCAGAGGGTTGCAGGAGGCCCTGGTAGCCGAAAACAGAGCTTGGGAGCCTGTTTTCACTGGCAGAAGAACCGCAGGCCAGATCTAAGTATCCTATGGGCCGGATCCAGCCTCCGGACCTTGAGTTTGACACCCCTAGTGTGGAGGGGTAGTGGAGCAGAGAGCTAGTGTGGAGCAGAGAGCAGTGTGGTGGATAAGTGGTGAAGTTGATCGTTTCCCACTTGGAAGGTTGAGAGTTCAATCCTAGGCAGCAGCAGATATTTCTCTTTAAGGGTACAAATTATCTGCTGCACACTCCATGCAGGTGTCAGGAAGGGCATCCAGTCAGTAAATGCTCAGCTTCATTAATTCACCTGACTCTATCCCAAATTAAAGGATTACAAGGTCATAAAAAGAAAAAAAAATCTAGTGTAGAGCAGGTGGAATAACAGAGATAATACTGTAGAATATGACTGATAAGAAATTCATGTATTATTTGATTATAATAAAAATAGTCAGTGAAACTCAGGCTGAAGAATGAAGAAATAAATCTGCATACAGAGGTTTTGTTATTTTTTCAGAAATCACATCAATAGAAGGAAAGAGCCAAGAAATTAAGCCACAATCCATAAATTATTACAGGAAAAGAATTCAAACAGGGTTTACAGATCACAAAAACAAATTTATTTTGGAAAAGTTTAACCAGAAATAATTACAATGATCTGTTTAAGAGAGGGATGTATTTTTTCAATAGTCAATGGTGAATGGACTATAAATATGATCATAGAATCAGAATGCAAGAATAATTTAACTGAATAAGAGCTAAACGCAAAATTGAATGCAACATTTTCCTGAATATGAGAAATGGGGACCTGTGATACTGGGAGCATAAACAGCCCCCGAGACTTAATTTTGCAGCTGAAAAAACTTATTTAAGTTTGAACTGGCCAACAGTTGATGGCAGTTTCCTGTCATTTTGAAGTAGGAAATCTCAAAACAAACAAACAAATACATGGAAGCCCTAAAATAAGCTAGTCACAAATAAACTAGTCACAGAAGTCAGGGAGGTTTGCTCTATTATCTCTAAAGAATCCAGAGAAAAATTAAAAATCCCAATCACACATGTATGTCTGATTTGCCTATGATATTTTGTACCATCACCTGTTCTACTTAGGTGATTCCCACAAAACTCATTATATAATATAGATAAGTAGGAGCAAACAAACTGTTAAAGCTACAGGGATTTTTGATGTAATGCAGAGCCCAAATGTAGTTCCAAAGAAAGGGCTGATATTAAAAATTGCCATAATCAGGTCCCTTCTGAAATATACAACCTATTAAGGACATTTGGCAATTGTTCTTTTAACTGTCTCATTAAATGTCTTACTTGAGAGAATGCAAGCAAGACAAGCAGTTGCCAATAAGTCGCCTTTCTGTAGATTGCCCTCAGAATTGGGCAAGGTATTAGCAGTGAACTAATAGGGTATATAAAAATGGGGACTCTCCTATGGACCTCCTACCCCAAAATCCCCCCAAATTCTACAGCCCACACTTTAAGAAGTCTCTTTAGGTAAGAGGAAATCCTCCATTACACCTACCTGTTCCTGAAGGAAGAGGTCATTTGCTATGTGCACAATCCGATCCACATGAATTATACCCCCAATACTGTTCACATCTATTTCTGACAATAGGGTCAGTACAAGGATGGCCTCCACTAATAACTGTCTGTATTCAGGCTGGGGCACATGGTTCAGCACTGATTCCACATGGACAGCAAACTTAATTTCACAAGCAGTCATCTATTAAGAAAATACGATATGGTAGGAAAAAGAAAGTAAGAATGACATGAATGACATCACCAAAACTTCTAAAATAACTTTTGAATGATGTCAGTGATACTAGTAGAATTGCACTTGAAAGTACCTTAGATTCCAGGAAGGAGACAAGTCAGTAAGGATAGATAATCTCCATCCCTTATATCCCAAGCATAAATTCCACTGATAGCAGAAGCCTAAGGATATACAGTATATTGTACTTTTCATGTTGAATAGGACTGTGTGTATGTGAACAGAAAGAAATACAAACACTATCTTTCTTGAGAAGAAAAAAACAGGGAAATTTTTGCATTCATAGAGCAGATTTGTATACAATTGCAACGTTCATTCTAGCAGCTTTCACTTACTGTACTTTAGATGGTGTGAGTGCTATATATAAATTTCTTGCAGTCTCAGGATAATTGAGAACTGGGTTTATATTAGAATGTGTTCTATAAAAACTTATGCAAGTGACTCTATTGCAACATCTCTTATACAAAAAGACACCAGGGGAGGAATTATGATGAATCAGTAAAATTTATTTTGGCGCATTTCTGTAAAAAAAATCAGAAATACTTAAAAAGAGGATTAAAATGAGGAGGAGAAAGGAGAAACAACTTCAAAATCAAATAAATTGAGAGTTTGTCAGAATACTGTCAGAATACTGACAGGTAACCACCTCATTATTGCACGCAAACCCAAGCAATCTAATTTGTATCAGAAAAATGTCAAAATGTCACATGGAATCATTTAGGCTTATTAGATTTGATTCCTATTATAGAACAAAATTGAATTCTGCCAAGTTCTGACAGGCCTGTTAAATTGATTCCAGAATTTTCAAATCTTCCCTAATTTATCATCACATTATAGTACCAAGACAGGAAAGATGCCAAAGCACATCACTGTTTTTAGTTCTTTTTCTGCAAGTGTACAAATAAACTAGCACCCTGGTAGATAATGGCTGGAAATTACCTTTGCCCCTTGATGGATTCCTGCTTCACCTAAATAAAGGGTGATTGCTTGGGGGGGGGAAAAGGAAGCATGGAATATATCTTGTGTACATTGCTACTCTGTTTGGGAAAGAGGCAACAGACATCTGTGGATGAGGAAGGGTAGACAGATATAACCCTAGCAAGGAGCTGTTCCAGTGGTGGTATTCAGCTGGTTCGCACTGGATCGGGAGAACTGGTAGCAAGGATTTGGCGTGGGTCGCCAAACCGGTAGTAAGTTCTGGCTGGCCACGTCCCTAATCTGGTCATCCGATTGCTGCTGGCTTGCTTGCCCCACCCGCCTGATGCTTGCTCATCCCGCCCGCCTGACACTCGCTCCTTAAGGTATTTCTTTTTTTCCCCTCCCGACAATCAGCTGTTCATAGATCAGCTGTGCCAGGATTCCCCTTGCTGAGCCCCAGAGGAGCCTTCTGGGAGCAAAAACGCCCCCTCAGAGGCTCTTCTGAGGCCAGGAAGGTCCCAAAATGGAGCATGGAGGGGTGCTGCGAGCCCCTCCCATACTCTTTTTTTTCTTCCTGAGCTCCAGAGGACCCTTCTGGGAGCAAAAACGCCCCCCTAGAGGTTCCCTGAGGTCCAGAATGCCCCCAAAATGGGGAGGTGTGGCTGCAAAAATGCCAACAAAAAGAACCCCGTCCACCCAGTCATATGGCCATGCCCACCAAGCCACGCCCACAGAACCAGCAGTAAAAATTGTTTGAATCCCACCACTGAGCTGTTCACTTCTTTTTTTAAAAAAGAAGTTAAAATGGAGTTACAGAAGAAAAACTATAGAAACCATTTAAAATTGTAAACAGTGACATTGCACTTGGATATTCTTTAGCAGAGTCCTGTCTATTGCTTACAAAGCAAGAGTGGTATGCCCAGATATAATATTAATCTAGAAATCCTTGGTACTTCAAAAATATTTTTTAAAAGCAATGGACCATATTTTTTTCTTCTTTTTTTGTGCTAGTATTGTGAGAAATTTAAGAGTTCTTTAACTCATATGAATTAGTCTATTCTAGCTATAGATTAATTCTGTTTTCAAATCATAGAACATATTAAGTTCATTTTGGAAATAAATATAATATTTAAAGATTTGTTGTTATTAGTTGCGAAGTTGTGTCTGACCCATTGCAACCTCATGGACAACGTTCCTCCAGGCCTTCCTGTCCTCTATCATCCCCTGGAGTCCATTTAAGCTCATGCCGACTGCTTCAGTGACTTCATCCAGCCACCTCATTCTCTGCTGTCCTGATCTTCTTTTGCCTTCAATCATTCCCAGCATTAGGCTCTTCTCCAGTGAGTCCTTCCTTCTCATTAGGTGGCCAAAGTATTTATCTTCAGTAGCACTTTTACTGCATTGTCTTTTAAGATTTTGAATAGCTCAGCTGGAATACTATCTCCTACATTAGCTTTGTTGTTGCTCAGACTTCCTAAGGCCCTTCACATTTGACTTCACATTGCAGGATGTCTGGCCTGAGGTCTGTAACCCTCCACCCCACATCGTGATTATCAGGCATGTTAAGCTCATTCTTGTTTAGTTCTTCTGTGTAGTTTTGCCACCTCTTCTTAATCTCTTCTGTCTCTGCTAGGTCCTTGCCATTTGGGTCATTTATCATGCCCATCTTTACATGAAACATACCCTTCAAATCTCCAATTTTCTTGAAGAGATCTCTGCTCCTCCCTGTTCTATTGTTTTCTTCTACTTCTTTGCACCGTTCATTTAAGAAGGCATTCTTATCTGTCCTAGATATTCTCTGGAATTCTGCATTTAATTGGGTGTATCTTTATCTTTATCCCTTGCCTTCTTTTGGCTTCCTACTTTAGCATTCCAATCCCTGATGATAATAAGGACATCATTTTTGGTGTTAATTCTAGAAGGTGTTGTAGGGCTTCATAAAACTGGTCAACTTCATTCTCTTCAGCAGCAGTGGTTGGAACATAGACTACTGTGGTGTTGAATGGTTTGCCTTGGATTCGAACTAAGATCATTCCATCATTTTGGGGATTGTATCCCAGTACTGCTTTTCCTACTCTTTGATTGATTATGAAGGCTACTCCATTTCTTCTGAGGGATTCTTGCCTGCAGTAGTATACCTGATAGTCATCTGAATTAAATTCACCCATTCCTGTCCATTTTAGATCACTGATTCCTAAGATGTCAATGTTCAGTTTTCTCTAATCGATGGACCACGTCCAGCTTGCATTGTTTCATGGATCTTACATTCCAGGTTCCCATGGAGTACAAGATAGTAAACTATATTCCTAACATAAAGAATTTGTATTTTATGTAGAACTTTGGCTCCATTGAGTCTAGGGATTGGCAAAGTGGACAATTTAATATAAATGGAAGGATACTTATTTTCTTGACACTAAGGAAGTGACTCAGGATAACAGACTGTTGTATTTTTTTTAAAAAAAGCCTTTATCTTCTAAAAATGATTAGAGGAAGCAATATTTCCACACAAGCTTAAGGATTTTTAATTCTGCATTGATTCTAAATGAATACTACTGAATCTTCTTTTTTTCTTTAATTAATTTTTTTCCTTTTTTCTTTTTTTTAACATATATTATATTTTAATCCTCACAATATACATAGATTCTTCCTCACTGTTATATTTTCCTCTTTCCCGTGATGTTATAATGGCTTGTATTTTACTAGTATTAAAAAGGCTTCTATGACTCTAGACAATAACTAACTTTCCATTTTTCTTGCTAAAAACTGGACAAATAAATCTCATCATTAAAATTAGCATTTGCCACAAAGCCATAATTATGAGCTCTTGGCAAGAACTGAGCTCCCAAAAGCATACAGTTAGCAATGGATTCTGATTTTTTCTTCTGCCTCTTTTTTTTCTTCTCCTCTGATCTGATTCAAAACATGTGAAAGTTACAGACTGAAAGTTTCCCCAAATCCCTACAACCCAGGGTCCAGCACTGAAGCTTCAATCAACATCCAGTATGATGCTGTGTGAAGCTCATCTTCAGGTATTTCAGCCATCTGGAATCCTAGGACGGTTAGCCTTGACAGGGTGTAAACAGCTCCAATCAGCAGCACAGTAATTCTTGAGAGCAAACCTCCCTTTCAGTTCACATGGGACTTCACCTCACCAGATCACTTCCCCAACCCAAATACCATGCTCCCCCTCCCCGTTACTATGGCAGCTGATAGCAAGCATGCAGCAAAGTCGAATCCCATGCTGGAGAGCCAGTTGACAGCAACTGTGTGGGAATAATTCTATCTAAATTAGTATGTCTAAGGTTGGATTCTAAATTTTAATTTATTTATTCACAATTTACTAGTTTCTGCTCAAGGATGAGCTGAATACAGTAATTCAAAAAAGAAATGTGGTTCTTTAGGTATATTGAGTGCCAATCTTAAAAAATTATCATGCTATCATTTCAAGAGACAGTTATTAGCATTCAATGTGCTTGGAACCAATTATTTTGTTCACTTGCCTTCCTAATCCAAAATATGTAAATAACAGACTGAGTAGGATTCAGAGATACCCACTTTTCAATATTAGCAAACCACTGCTATTAACTGCAAGCACCAATACTATCTGGCATTATTTCATTTTACCTCACGCTATACTAGGCTTCCTTGTACCACATTGTCTCTATCATAAAATGAAATAGTTTCTCTTACCTCCCTTGTGGTTGAAGATGGAAGGACATACCCATCAATAGACAGTCCATGACACTGCAAAAACAACACTGCTTTACTATAAAAACAATAAAACAAGCTAGTATGTAAATTAATTACAGGAATTTGTTAAGATGGAGGTTGGTTTAAGGTCTTTCTAGTATTACTTAATGTCACCAGTGAATTTAACACTTATTCAGTATAACTTTCAAAGAAAACATTTTCATACCAGACTAGAAGGTGGACATCTCAATTCAGGGGTTTTTTTTGGAAAAGAGGTTTGCTATAAATTCTTCTGAAATATTTCTTGGATTTTTTAGCTTAGCCTACAGCTTTTGGGATTTTTGGTGGTCTGTAATCCAAGTGCTAGTGAGATTGGATCCTTTTGGGGAGGGGAAGGGAGTCAATCAAATTTAACTAACTGCTACTATCTGATGTAACTAATGCATTGAATCTGGAATTCTCCATGAAAAACATAATTTTTGGAACAGAAAACCAGCTTCTCTTTCTCTATGTCACACTTTGTCTATAAAACAATTTTTACATGCTCTTTATGGCACTAACAGTATTTTTTGCACGAATAATAAAATCATAAATATTTTAGTGGGATTATTTTTATAAAAGATTAGCAAGCACCAAATATTTTAGAACAGAAAGGGTAACCAGAATAAAAAGGAATATTTTCAGTTAATTCTGCTAAATAAGCAATTTTACCCTGAGAAGTTAGAATGTCAAACAAACAAATGCATATCATTTCATTTATTTCATTAATTTCTCATTAAGATACCTGCCATTTTAAGGAGCTTACTGCTGTCAACAAATTATTGCAAATAGGCTGATAATAGTGAAAAAAACATAAAGCCTGTGTCAACCTTCCACAATTCCATATGTCAAGTGGTTCTCCATTATGCTGAGGTATATTTCACTGCTCCTCCATTTATTGTAAAAAAAAAAAGTTCTGACTCTCAATTTTTTACATTTAACATTAATTTGCATTTTTTAATGATCAAGATTTTTTAAAAATGTATGAAAGTGCTAGGGATCAAAGTAACTCTGGTGAGAACTATTTGAAATTGTGATTTGGTATATCTACAAATGCTTGGCTTGAATGAGTTCTATCTAGTTCACAGGAGGATGTACCATAATTTTTTAAAAAACAACAACCCCAAAGCAGAAAAATATCCTGAAAATATTTTCAGAAAATATATATATTGAAAACTGAATTTTAAAATAAAAAGTCAAGTGTCCTTATTTTTTATAACTATTTAAGAAACATATTTCAAAATATTTCATTAAGTTTAGCCAAAAATTTTACTGACTGCTTTAAGGTTTTTTAAAACCAAGTAGCTAGATGTAACAATGCACATTAATCCTACATGGCAATATTATCAAGCAACATTATTCAGCCTTCTGCCTTTTTCAAATTACCTTCTGAAGGATCTTCCACACTTTCTGATAGAAACCCACAGGGACTCTATTAATGGCACCATCGAGCCGTCTCCTGCGAAGCCACTGCCCTTGTCGGTCACCCCAGCTAATAGAGTGTCCAACTGACCCAGTTAGGGATGAAGTACTAGTAGGAGAAGATGGGCTACTGCATCTCTGTAGAAAAGACAAAAGTAATCCCATAAGGCAACATAAACACCAATTTCTCAGAAACACCACTCTGATGCCCAAAGAAGAATGCAGGCTTGTGGAAGTAATTCCAGTCCTCGTGTCTTCAGGTGCATGCCCAGCCTATTTTCCCTTGTTAACACAATCTTTTTTTGTATGCCTTTCTTTTTAAAATCTGTCAAGAATTTCTTGCACAATTTGTCAGCACATCTCCACAATATAGATCTAATATTTATAGCTGCATCAAATAATCTAATGAGATTGCTGGTTAGATGCAAAGGCATGGACATTTCATTAAAATCACTATAACTTTTTTTCCCCCAGTGTCACTCAGAAACCTGAAAACCAATGTAGCTGATGTTGTGCTCATGTAAGGAAAAAATTCTTCTGAAACATTTCATAGCTAACACAGCTTTATTAACTATATATTTATTAACTATATATAAATTAAACTCTATTTAAAATATTTAAACCACATACTTTAAATTAATTATGGGATGTGATGTTTAAGATCCATCTGATTGTATTTCAAAGGTCCATCCGTTACACCATTTAATACTATGCATTTATCAAAATGGAGAGCCAGCACAAAAATGGAGAATCAGCTAATTATTTAAGTGCTTTTTTCCATAAGCCATTTTTGGGATTATTGTGCTATTCAGCCATCTATTGCTTTGTATGGGCAAAATAAATAGTCTACCTCACCAAGGATAATAAAGGGCTGAGGCTTATTTATTTCTTTATTTTTGGGATTTATATCCTGCTTTTACTTTGTCCAATTCAAAGCATACATAATGCTCCCTTCAACTATTTTCCCCACAGCAATGTGAGGTAGGTTGGGCAAAAAGTCATCTAGTCAGTTTCTGTGACTAAGAAAAGATGCATAAATTCTGTAGGTCCAGCACCTTAACTGTTATGGGAAATTAATTTCCCCAAGGGGTCACAAGAGAAACCGGGACTATTGTGGAAGGTCAAACCAATATCTCCAAATTGTGGTCCCCCCACTCACCCAAAGCCCCATTTCAATCAAGGTGGCTGTGGGTGGCCGAGCCTGCGTCCCCTCAATTAATGAACACCACTGTCTCCACAGGCTGTTCCAAGAGAGAGATGAGCACTGTGCAGGTGCAGAAAAGCACTTTCTCTCCTCACCCTCCTGAGACTGCCAGCTGACTGAAGGAGTGCAACTGGCCTGAAATGCAAGCTACTCAATGCAAGAAGCCTTGTAAATAAAATACCTGAATTTCTCTTACTAAATACGGCTAAATTTGACATTATATTTGTCTGTGAAACATGGCTCAACGCATCTCTCCCTGACTCCATTACCACAGTAAGAGACTATCATGTTTACCGATCAGATCGTGAAATCTGTAGAGGAGATGGTGTTGCTATCTTCTATAAAAAGTCCCTACATCTAAAAAACATCCAAGTTACCCAGGAGCTTGCTATTCCTGAAACAATTGTCTGTGAACTGTCCTTAAATATCACATTTCAATTCTTACTATGTTACAGAGTCCCTGATTATGACACTGAACATGCAAACAAGCTAAATACACTACTAACATGGGCAGCATCCTGCCAACACGCTTTTATCGTTCTTGGTGACTTCAATCTACCTCATATTAACTGGACCCTTAACGAATATACAACTGAACCTACACATGCACCCTCATATAATGCAGTGACAAATCTGGGACTAGAACAACTAGTAACCAACAACACTAAACTTAACAACTGCCTTAATCTCATCTTCTGCAATAGTTTGAATTCAATTTACGGAACACAAATTAAAGAACCCTTTTCCAACAGTGACCACAACATGATTGACTTTTGTCTCAACATACGTCCACACAAAAATCATCACAATGACGGAATCCCCAATAATAACTTCAAAAAGGGCAACTATGATCTTATAAACAACGATTTCTCATTCCTTGATTGGCAATTTCTATTCACTGGATGCAATACTGTAGAAGACCACAACATATTTTTACTTGAAGTCAAAAGAGTCATCAAACTATATGTACCAATAACAATTCCCAAAACCAGAAAAAACAAATTACCCATAACAATAAGGAAGCTTCAATCCAAAACGAAATCACTTTGGCGGAAAAACAAATCTGGTCATGTTGCCAACTTCAAAAGCTGATACAAAAATTTATGCCACCAGATAAAAACTGAATGCACCAATTGTCACATTAAACAAGAAGAAAACCTTCTACGCACCAATTCCACCCACGCTTTTTACAATTTTGTAAACAACGAAAAGACTCAAGGTCCATCCCACCCCTGAAAGGACCTAATGGTAAAGACTGCAACGATGACACTATTAAAGCCAACCTCTTTAACACATTCTTTGGTTCAGTATTTGTAAACAGCAATGGATCATGCCCAGCATTTCCTAGTCGAACCACAGACAATTACAATGATCTAATACATTTCGATTTTACAGAAGATAATGTTGAAAAAGCATTACGCAATCTAAAACCATCTCTATCTATTGAACCGGACAGAACATGTGCCTACTTCTTAAAAAAGCTATCCACTGCCATAGCTGAACCTCTAAGCATAATCTTATAAAAAATTTTCAGGACCAGCTCCTTGCCAAAACTATGGTCACAAGCCACGGTCATCCCCATCTTCAAAAAGGGAGACCCCAGCCTAGTTGAAAATTACAGACCAATCTCTTTATGTTGCGTCACCTGTAAAGTCATGGAATCAATTATTAACCAATCCATCATTCTCCACTTAGAAACAAACAACCTACTCTCTAATAAACAATTTGATTTCAGGAAAAAACTATCCTGTAATCTGCAACTCTTACACTGCAAAAACATATGGACTACACAACTCCATCAGGGCAAAGCAATAGACACAATCTACATAGACTTCTGTAAAGCCTTTGATTCAGTGGTACATGACAAACTGCTCCTAAAACTAAAATCTTATGGTATCTCTGCACACCTACATAACTGGATAGAAGCATTCCTGTCAAACAGACAACAAATGGTCAAAATTGGGAGCATCCTATCAAATTCTGTACCTGTCAACAGTGGTGTCCCCCAAGGCAGTGTTCTAGGACCAACTCTTTTCATATTCTACATACATGACCTCTGTGATCATATCAAGAGCAACTGTGTTCTCTTTGCTGATGATGTAAAGCTATTCAACACCACCGACAATACTGCTACCCTTCAAAAAGATCTTGACTATGTATCAGAATGGTCAAACAAATGGCAACTTCAAATCTCAACAAATAAATGCTCTCTCCTATATATTGGCAAAAAAACCCAGAAAATAAAATACAGGCTGAATAGTCAAGACCTTGTTGATGATTCAAACTCTGTCAAGGATCTTGGAGTACTCATCTCTAATGATCTAAGTGCTAGAGCTCACTGTAACTACATAGCCAAAAAGGCCTTAAGAGTTGTTAACCTAATCTTACGTAGCTTTTTCTCTGGTAATATTACACTAATAACTACAGCATACAAAACATTTGCTAGACCAATACTCAAATACAGCTCATCAGTCTGAAACCCACATTACGTATCTGATATTAACACAGTTGAGAAAGTCCAGAAATATTTCACAGGAAGAGTTCTCCACTCCTCTACTCGTTGCAGAATACCTTATGTCACCAGACTCAAAATTCTAGACCTAGAAAACCTAGAACTACGCCGCCTTTGGTCCGATCTAAGTATAGCATATAAAATCATACATTGCAATGTCCTACCTGTCCATGAATACTTCAGCTCCATAACAACACAAGAGCAAACAGCAGATACAAACTCAATCGCAACAAACTTGATTGCAGGAAATACGACTTCAGCAACCGAGTGGTCAATGTCTGGAATACCCTACCTGACTCTCTGGTTTCTTCCCCAAACCCCAAAAACTTTAACCTTGGACTGTCTACTATTGACCTCACCCCTTTCCTAAGAGGTCTGTAGGGGGCGTGCATAAGCACACCAATGTGCCTACCATCCCTGTCCTATTGTTTCTTTTATTTTTTATTTTTCTTATATGTATCCATCTATTCATAACTATCTTTTTACTTATACCTATTATCTTGTAAGCAATTGACAAAATAGATAGATAGATAGATAGATAGATAGATAGATAGATAGATAGATAGATAGATAGATAGATAGA